AAGAGCTGACATCGAAACTCATTTTCCCAGTTTGAAAACAGAGTGGAGTCAAACCCCAGCTAGGCCTGTTAGTCATTGATTTTCCATTCACCAGGATCTACAGCACTCAGGACCATAGGCGCAGAGCACAAAGTCGCCTGTAGCACAGAACCCACAATCCAGGAGCTGAGCTGCCGCCACCAGAGTTCGGGATCCTATGTGAATCCCAGGACTCAGTTTGCCCAGCCATAAACTGGAAGTCAAGGTGATGTTTTAATCTTTAAAGGCTAACTCCTCAACAAATGTCCTACTGGGCTAGTCTTTACATCCTCACCCTTACACACATGTGCACACATGCACCCAGATATATATGCGCACGTGTACATGCAGGCACACACACATGAGCGTACACATGCACACACTTCCCATAGGATGGAGCAGACAGTGCCTGCCCTCCTGAGACACCCAGTTTATTTGTGGAATACAAATCAGCATTTCAATTACCTGTGCTTAGTAGTATCAACTAATCTATTAATTATTTGCATTTATTTCATTTTTACTAGTATCATGTAATGATGAAAAATTAAAAGCTACCAAAGCAGCCATGTGTAGGCAGAAGGTATTTTACTATTGAAACACTTGAGAACTGACTTTAACTCAGTCAGCATTTACAACAAAACACAAGTCACAGGAAAACCCAGTGTCTCCACCACCTCCACCTGGAGACTGGAAGGGAAATGCACAGGAATGCAGAGCAGACTGCCCCTCGGCTTTCTCACATTCCCAGATTAAAATCTGTTCCTGCTTTAGTACAAAGCAGGTGTGGTGCAGTAATGATCCAAACTCCTCCACCTCAGGAACCTCGCTCACCCTGGGCTGGGGGCCGGAAGGGAGCACAGGCCACCCCCAGACTGTCTGGCCACCTGGCTTCTCCTCTTCCTCCTCACTCAGCAAGGAGAGCTGTGACCCTTCTGAGGTGATAGGCAGAGACACAAGGTTAAGGGGGCGAAGGGAGCCCACCTGTCCAGAACTTGGATGCAGACGCTCAGAACTGATCTCTGGCTGAGACCAGCAACCATGGCCCTAAGGGATTGCTGTGGCCCTCTCCTGCAATCCAAGCTGATTCAGAGAGAAGCCCAAGGGGATCCCAGACTGTTCAAGCCTCTTCAGCCCAGAGCTTTTCCTCCCACCCTTCTCAACAGGAAGCACAAGCAGGTGCCCAAGGGACCCAGGCCAGCAGCGCCTTCTCCCCACCCCTACAAGCTGTGGGGTCCACAGGTCCCAAACACCCACAGGAGCTCAGTGTGTGTTGGCTTTGTGCTGTGCAGAGCCTCCCAGAACTGAGTCCCTGCAGCTTTTCTAGACAGCCCTGGGCGAAGTGGGGAAGTTGCTCGTTCCTTGCTGTGTGTTGCAAGCCCTCCTTCCTAGACCACGTCCTGGAGCAACCCAGAAGCTGCAGTCCACTCCCCGCCTTGCCCTGCTGTTCCAACTGTAACTCTTCTACATTGCACAGGATTCAAGGACACCCAATTGGAGTTGCGCACACACAAGGGGGCTGACAGCTGCCCTGTGGGATCAAGCAGGGTCTGCTCCTCACCTTGGAGACTCAGTCAAAACCAAGACTAAGATATGCTTATTTTATGTACAGTGTAACAATTCAAATCAGAACGCAGAGATAATCCAAGGGGAAACATTTTAAAAGAAGCTTAAAAAGTGAGTGAGGGGTGCTTATCAGCAAACTAAGGAGAAAATGGACCATCTCATGTGTTCACTCTGTATTTACAAGGACATATGTATTAAGCCTCGAGAACTGATTAGCTCTGTCCTGGAGCAGAAGTCACACAGCCTCAGGGGTATGAGTCAGTGAAGGCCACCGCCAGGGATGTGGTGGGTGATTAGAAGGCCTGGGCAGCCATGTAATGCAGTGTCCAGAGTCGATACTTCTGAGAAGTGGACACACACACACACACACACACACACACACACATGCCCGACTTTTCTGAAGAGCTGAATACCTGTGTGGCCCTGACTGGCTGTAGAAGCCAGCAGTGACGTTGATTTCTAGAGGAAGCTGACACCATGTGCTCGCAGAAGGCAGTGGCCCGTAGCTGTGGGTCAGAACAGGGATGTGGGGGCTTCCTGCTGGCAGTTTATGGTGACAGTAAGCACAGCACCAGTACAACAGTGTCTCTAGGAGCAAGACGCTATGCTTTACAATCCAACTTTAAAAGGCATTACACCAGAAATCAAGGTTTCTATGAAGGGTCCCAGGAGAAAATAACATCATTAATCTTGAAACAAGCATAGCTGCTTTAGTAAAGTTTAAACAAACCAATAAAAATGCAAACTAGAAAGAGTGGTCTATATGCCAAACACCTGTGCGCTTGACTTGGAAAGGATCTGACAACAATGCTGCCCTAGCAGCACTTTCAAAGGAAACAAGAGTTTGGAGAACAGGGCCCACTGGGATACTTCTGAGACCAGGAAGAGAAAGAATGTGAATTAACTGACTGACACTTATTTATCCCTGTCCCTTGGGACCTTTAAAAGACAACTAGAATACACATCCACAGCAACAAACATTAAAAGCTAAGTGATATTCCCAGCCGATGATGAATTTAAATTATAAGCATTAATGCTCAAGATGACTTGCTTTGAAATATCCTACACGCTTCACAAAGTGTCATCAGTTAACCAGAAATCATGAACAGTAATTAATAACTAAACACTGCCTCCCTGAATTTACTTAAGCAGATGAAACAAGTGGCCCTGGGGAGGGACCAGTCACTTCTAACCCATTGTACAGATGAAGCAAGTGAGATATGGTGGGATTAAGAAACTGGTCCAAGGATAAGCAGGAAGGAAAAGTCAGGATTCAGATGCACATGATCTGCTTCCATCAGCGGAGCAGGCTTTTTGTTTGTCATTTCTTTGACCGTGTGGCAGAATGGCGAAATCTCCATAAATTCAGCTTGGACAGGAAACTGCTCGTCGCCTCCCATCCCTGCTCATGCTAAGCAGGATAATGGGTGTCTGCAGCTTGGTCCAGCTCTCTCAGGAGCTCAGCCGGTGCTCCCAGACTCTCTCCCTGCAGACACGGCCACTTTCCTTTTTTAATGAGATGAGCACATCAGGCCTCTTCTGTTCTCCCAAACTCGGCTGATTCTGCTGAAGTCTTAGAAACACATGCGTGGTGCCCCCGAAGGCTCTGGAGGAGTCGGGATGGGAACCAGGCCACTGAGGACCTGGCGCTGGGGCAGGTCCCTGGCCAGTCTGCATCCCTTGCTGTGGTCTGTGGGACAGACGCTCGGAAGCTCCCTCGTGGAGCGGAGTACACAGGCGTGGGAAGGCGCGTGCTGGATAACAAACACGAAGCGTAAAGGGAGAGTTTTGCTGGTGTTTGGCAACGCTGTTGTACTCCAGGAAGGAGAGGCTTCACGAGAAACAATTCCAGCATTTCACTCTGTGACAGCGTTTTAACTTTAAGGTAAGCAAATTTCTGCACTTGGTGGACTTCACAATGAAATGAATGAGTATAGTCCTCCAAAAGAATCAGCAGTACATTATTTCTGCACTCTAAATGTTTGGCTAGGTTACAAAAGACAATGGTTGTTAAACAACTTAACACTGATAAATAATGAATGTAGCTTTTGAAGCATTGTTTAATCGTGTCTGGCTTCCTATAACTCAGCTCTTGGTTAACATAAAGTTAACATAGCAGGGTGGGAAATCGACGAAGTGTGAATTCTGAAGTTGAACACGGTGAGGGTCTGAAGGCATTGGAAACCTGGAATTTTACCTTTGGGCTGCAGCCGCAGCTCGCAGCCCAAGGATTGTCTCATGCACCTTTTCCTCTTTTGTGCCTACGTCACCAATTTAAGGTTCTCGTTTATCTCGTTATTTATTTTCAGGGAGCAAGCTTGAGACCTGCGTGAGGAGGACTGGAGGGTTCCTGGAGGGAGGGGTGCAGGACTAAGGTGAAGAGCTGGGGTTGCAGACGTGGGTGCAGGCGTGGGTGCAGGACCGGGGCTCGGTGCGGGACTGGGGTGAGAGACCTGGAGGCGGGGCGCGGATGCGGAACGGGGTTGCAGGGCCGGGATACAGGTGCCAGCGGCCACAGAGGGGCACAGCCCTGTCCCGATGGGACTGCTCACCCCAGACCCCGGGAAGCATCGGCCCGCAGTCCGGGAGGGGCGTGTGCCTCCTTCCAGGCCAGCCAATGGGACGGCTCCTGAGGACTGCGAAGGAGAGGGATGCGGTTGCTAGGAGACGGGAGCGTCTCCCTCCCGCCCGCGCCCGGCGGTGGCGGAGCCGAGCCTCACGGGCGCAAGGCGTGCGGAGCCCGGCAGACTGGACAGCCGGGCAGCGTCCGCCTCAGTCCGCACTGCCCTGCACCCTGCCCGCCGCGACCCCGAGCTCGGCGGGGCGCCAGGTCCCGCACCGCCTGCGGCGCCCGACCTCGCGGACGCGGGCCGGACGCGAACACACCCCTCGCGGCCGGCGCGGGGCGGCGCCGGGAAAGTTGGCCGCGCGAGGGTCCGGCCCGAGCCCGGGTCGCGGAGACCCCAGCCCCGCCCGCGCGCCCCGCCCGGCCCGGCCGTATGCTCCGCCCGGCGGGGTCCACGCGAGGCGGCGCGCAGGGCGCACGAGTTCTCCCCGCCGCGGAGGACAAAGGCCGCGCGGTCGCCCCGCGCCCGACCCGCAGGACCCGAGGACCCGGCATGAGCCCGAGGCGTCGCGCAGGCTCGGCTCTGGCGCCCGCGCGGAGCCGCGGGAGCGAGGTAAGCGCGAAGGGGACGGCGCCGCGCCCCTGCCCTGCCCTGCCCTCCGGGCGCCTGTGCCCGCACCCGCGGGCTGGGAGGCGGAGGCGTCGCCGGAGTTCGCGTGTGCCCGGGGTCCTGCGGGACCGCACGCGGCTCCGGGCAGGGTCTGCGGTCGGCGCGCCGCTGCGTGACGCCGTGGCCGTGCGCTCGGGTCCCCGGCGCTGACCGCTGCTGGACCAGGTGTGCGCGGCGGGGCGGGGCGCGGCGACCCCAAGACCCAGCCCCGCCCGGGCCGCTCAGTGCTGCGTGGACGCCGCGGCTCGGGCTCCGCGTGGGCGTGAGGGCTGCGTCCCCGGGACTGGCGTGGCGCGCTCTGCGTTAGGCGCTGGGAAGGAGCTGCCCTGGAGCTCGCTGCCCTGGAGCGAGGGATGACAGCGTCAGCCTGGAAGCCCCTCTCCATCCTCTGGGCTCCATTTTCCTACGACAGAGATAAGTCGGAGAGGGCGGGAGATTCGCGATCCAAAAATAGACTAGGTAATGCATCCTATAAGCCGGTTTCTTACCAATTTCATTTAGGCTCCTTGCTGCTCTTCCCTGGGGGAGCAAGCCTGAGAGTTTTTGAGCTATGCTACTTCCAGACGCGGGTTCTAAGGGCGTGGACCCCTGCTTTTGAAATATCGTGGACCACTGTTAATTTTGAAAACAGGACTGTACAGTTGTAAAGGTCTGTAGTCAAGTGCTCGACGAATTTGCTTACAAATATTTTTGCTCTTGTTTGAACAGGAAGAGGTGGGGGGCTCGGTGCAGACTGTGGCATACAGGTTTATTGGAAGTTGAGATGACAGGGCTCCAGGTCCCTGCGAGCTGATGCCTCAGCCACGGGTGGTACTCTGGGCTGCTTTGCTCAAATTTCTTTGTGTTACTGGCTTGTAGCTGTGTTCAGCAGAGCTATTGTGTGTTTTGGGGGACAAAGTAAGCCTCTACTTAGAGAGAAACGTGATCTATTTTATCCAAATCCAGTCTGTCTTGGTTTATCTGAAGGCATTTTGAGTCTGCCATCTGAGCTTTGTTGTTTGCGTGTGTTTAATGCAGATATTACCAAGAACATCGAATGCCCATTAAGATAGCCTGGTGGGAATGGCAGCTCCTACAGGGGTGCTGTAGCACGCTTGCCCAGGTGTGAGTGTATCCTGCCTGTCTTTTACAAAGCGCAGCCCACTTGAATCTGAACAGATTCGGGAACCACTGTTCACTAGTGCTAAATAAAGTGAGATTTTCTCTTTCATAAGGGCAGTGTCCCGTAGCTGCAGGTTTCCCACACCTGTAGGTTTCAGCTGTCTGCCCTTCTGGGTTCTGATCGCACACTAGGTGAGCGCAGATATTTTGAAGGAGCACGCCCACGCCTGTGTTGATTGACGTTTAAGGAACACAGGTGCTCAGGGCGAAATGAGCAGAGGACATCTTGAAGCTTACATGTTCACAAGTAAAATAATCAAAATCGTGGGCTACCAGCAAAAATACAGTAAGGAAACCTGGTAGTGTTGATAAGTCCCTCCAAAAAGAAAGGAAATTTAGTTATGAAACTTTTGTTTCTATCAACTGGAACCTTAACAATAAAATGACCTTAAATCGAAGAAACTTTTTCAGCACACACAGTGGGCTGAACTGTGGGCTTAAAGAGAAGGAAGCCTGTCTGTGCACATGGCATGCCCATTCTTCACATCCGAGGACTGTGGCATCACACGCTTCCTCCACTGACGGATGACACATTCCTTGGAGCATGTGATGGATAGATATTGTGAACAATGAAAATGTATCCTGTGACTCATTTGTATGATTGACTTTTACAAGTTGTGGTGTACATATGAAAATAAGTGTAAATAAGATTATATGGGGACTTTCCAAGTGTAACAATGAGGAGCCCATCTTTGATTTTATTTTATGGCAATTAAAAGCAATGACCCAAACAAGTGCAAAGATTGCATAAAATCAAATGATATTCACTTTTATGTTGAAGTTAGTATTTGTGTTCAACAAGACAGCAGGCAGGAGCCCCGGAGGGTCGTCTGTCCCACTGCCCTGCTTCCTGATACACACATTGAGGGTGTCTCATTTTGAAGGATTCTCAGCCATGTCTTACAGCTTTCCCGTGTCCATTTGCCTCTTTTTGTGCCTCAGTGGCTTCCCGTAAACGTCCTTTTCTTTCTTGTTCGTTCCCCCAACAATGGTCAGTCACAAAACAAAGCAGGATCATTTTCTAGGGTTTTGTCTTTTTCTTACAAAATACAGCCTGCTGTCTTGGGGATGGATGGTTTTGATTCTTTTTCCTGTACTCAGAATCATCTCAAGAAACCATTACATGAAAGAAATGAAAGGGAATTCCTAATTCCTGTGGAAATCCAGGAGAGCAGGGTGCACGTCTGCATCCTGGAGTCCAGCCAGAGTGGCTGGGAGACTTGCCTTCTCCCCAAGAACTCCAAAAAAGAAGCAGGTGTTGGCTCACGCTCCTCTCACTTTGCTGCTTCACACTGAGTTCATCTTGCATTCTCGCCGCTTTTGAGATTCTTCTAAATGATCCAATTCTGCATTAGATGAATTTGTTGAAATCACTCCCAAGAAGTAGCATAAAATGATAGAAAATTATCTAGCAAGACTGAGCACATAAAATGAGTACAATCATAGTAATCACAGAGATGCTAGGAACCACCGGGTCCTCTCCCCTTGCACGTCTAATGCAGGCTTGGTCCCGACAGCGTCCCCCGTATTTTGGAATGCTTCAGCCCATTCTGATTTTAAATAGCTCTTGTAATGACTTCTTCCAGAATCTCTGAAAGACTATTTCACAGTCTAATGGTTCTCCCTATTAAGAACTTCGTTGTGATATTAAGCCTAGTTTTTATCCTGATTCTATTTTATCTTATTACTAACTCTTTATCCTAATCCCTCTGGGGTAATCCATCCTCTTTTCTGATTTAGTCATCATCCAACATTTATTTACAGAGATCTTATAAAATGCACAGACTTTACACAGTTACAAGAGCTATTTAGATAACTTTGCTAAATATTTAAGATACATCTTTTAGGTCATTTATATGAATGGCTATGGCTACATTTTCCTAATGATTTGTCTTACTAATGTAAGAGTGAAGGAATTGCTTCTCTGACATCTGTGACCTTTGTTGAGTATCAAAATGATCCCTGCTAAGTGATGCTCTATGTGTGCACGGGAGACACTCTCATTGCAAACATGCTGCTCTCCATGGCCACAATCCAGCAGGATTCCAGTGGATCTGATGCCCTGTGAAGCTGTTTTCATGCAGATTCTCCTATGGAAATTAAAGCAATTTCCATAATTAATAGAATGTTCTGGAGACATAACAGTATATATGGGTTGTCTGTGAATGAACACAATACAGACGTTTTGTTAGAATGTTCAGTGACACCTTCACCTCGAAATGAACTGAACAAGCCAATAGAATGCAAACCAGAGTCTTCACTGTGCTGTATCATGAAAAATAAGGTTAAGTCATCGCATATATCAACGTGGATTATTCTTCGATTTACATGGGGGTACCATATGTGAAGGTTATTTTTAAAATAGAAAATCCTAAAATTACAAGAGAAAAGCAGATTTTTACTTGTTCACTTGGAATCTGGTTCCAAAACATCCGTGTGTAGGCTTATTTAAGATTTCTAGAGAAGCATCCTGGTAGATGCACCATCCCTTCTCAGTTCCTGCCCATCCCAAGCTGCAACACACCAGTTCTGCCCTCCAGCCAGGAGCCAACAGAGCCCATCAGGAAACTCACCTGTGCCCCTTGGTGCATCCCGGAGATCTGGGCATGCAGGGTACTGAGCGTACTTTCCAGGGATTAAGTCAGGCTGCAGCGAGTAAAACCCAAAGAGTAAATAAGGAGCAAACTGAAGGATCCACATTGGGAAGTAAGAGAAGCTTGTTCAAATGGGGAGGGGAATGGAGAAGGAAGGGTGTAGAAGCAGGATTTTAAAAGAGTGAGAAGGCCAGCTGTGATGGCCCATGCCTGCGATCCCAGGACTCGGGAGGCCGAGGCAGGAGGATCACTGAGAGCTTGAGACCAGCCTGGGTACACAGTGAATTCAAGGTCAGTCTGAACTACGTCGTGAGAGAGAGAATAAAAACAAAGCTTTGGTAAACAGGGAGGAGAGGCGTTGAAGGAAGGGTGGGCAGTAGAGGAATGAAGAATTAAGACGCATTATGGCATTATGTACAAATTCCCTGGGGTGAGTGTGACCAATGTACATGGCAAAGAGATACTAAGAAGAGAAATAAATCATCCTTGCTTTGCCAGCACATATACTGAAAAATAATAAATGAGTAAGATTGGACTGCATGAATAAATCCTTTCTAAGGCAGCATCTTCCTGCCTGAAGCTCTAAAGGGTTTTTATAGTGCCAGCCCTCACATAGTGGTGAGGACCTTGAAAGTGATTTTCCTTAGAGGCAAAGGGAAAATCAGTTTTCTTAGGACAGGAAAAGTAGACATCAAGGTACTCATGATTTCAACCTGGAACAGAGAGGCATTCAAAGAACTGTGTCTACATAGAATATGATACTTTTCATCAAACAAAAAATCCTGTTATGGAACAAGAAGTTTTATATTGCATTTTAAGGAGAGAAATAAGCTTGGAAGACATGAAGCTATAAATTATGCAAAGCATAGATGAAAATACCATGTTTGAAAATAAAGCCATTGCTAGAAGAGATATCTCCACAAAAGCAGAAGGTGGCCAATTCCTTGTCAGAGTGGGCCGTCACTGTTATTGTCTGTACACACACACATGCACATTTGAGTAAATTTAGTTAAAAGAGCATAGATACCTACCAGACAGAAACTTCCAAAACTGTGATCCCAGATAGTTACAGCCTGCGAGTATTATAAATATGACAGTTTCCAGACCAGTGGCTAATTTTATAACAGATGCTGGACCTTAGAAGCCCCTTAAGAGAGATGCTGTCACCATCAAGAAAAAGTCATAAAGAAGCAGCTTGTCAGCAAATGTTTATTAAGCACCTATTATAACCAAAATAAAATGCAAAGTATGCAGCAGTGGAGACAAACAATGTTCCCAAAACTTCACAAACATGCGTAAAGTCAAAGTTCTCCTATAGTCCAGCTTGACACTAGAGCAGAAAGAGTGACCGCAGTCACCAACCAATAAGAAAGTCCTCTGCCCTCAGGTAACAGATTCAGATTCAGGACACTCCTGTACTAGGTCCCGCCGTGAGGTGACAAAGCCAAGGACACGTCATAACAGCCGCCCAGAGATAAGAACTCTGCCACCACACGGTGTGTTTCCCCTCAGCCACCCCACAGTGCAACCCTGGTGGGGCTCGCATGCACGTTTGCACACACACAGCAGCAATGCAGGACCTGCTGGTGTGCAAAGGCTCTGAGAGGCCTGCTCCATGAATCCCACCTCTTGTGATTCTGTGACCTCGGTGCTTTCTGCAGCAGGAAATCTGCTGTCTTGATTGCATACATTTGTACTTACATTTACAAAAGAGCTGAGACATGAGCCTTTACTTGAGAGTCTTTCTCTGATTTGTGACTTGTACTAGAATGCTTTGTGTACATAAAAAATTGAATGGATGTCACAGATCTGCCCATCCATCTGGTGGAAGCAGTTTCTTTTGATAATAATACACAGCAGATAGATTATTAGTAATATTTTGTATTTTGCTTAACAGTTTTAATACAACATGTGTTGGTGAATACAACATGATGGAAACTGCTCTCAAAAATATGTCAGAATACGTGCCAATTTGGGAGATGGCACAAGAGGGTCAGAAACAGTTGGAGTTTGTATCTGCCTCAAGGAGGAGACGAGATCTGGAGAATATAATTAACTGTTGCTATTTTGAAACATCTTATTTTTCCTGAAAAGGCAGAGACCCTCAGCTTGCCAGGCATTAATCTGTCAAGCCCAGTGGCACTGGTAACCAACCCAATCTGAGAGCGGGAAGGGCGCTCCCCGTGGGGACTTCAATTCCCATGTGCTCCGTGGACTTTGCTCAGGGCTGGCTTATAGGAGAAATGGCTTGCGGATGCCAAAGCTGCCTTCTCCCACTGAAGTCTCTCCTGCTCCCTGCCATGCTTTACGACATTCTCCAACTTTCAGACTATTTTATCCAGAAAGTTCAGAAATGCTACACTTCCTAGGCCCACCAGTTGCACTGACTGTGTAACACACTTTAGATCCATTTGGCCATTTTTCAGCAAACTAACTCCCCTGTTTGGTGAGGGAGGCAATAATCTGTGCATATTTTCCTGCTTGGTGGCTTTGTCTAAAATGAGGTCTCCTGGCTTTGATCTCTGTGCTGCACTCACTGGACCAAACACAGACCCTCCCTGCAGGGGCTCTGACAGGAGCATGCTGGGTGCTGCTCAGCACCCTCACTCCTGTCCTGGCTTTCCTGAGATTGGATCACCACTACCTCTGTGATCCCAAAAGGGCCTGCAGGTGAAGCTGCTCCTCAGGTAGCAAAGTATGCAGCGATTTAGGTAAAGACAAGTTGGAGGCTAAATGCAGAGGCATCATCCTCTCAGGTCCCTCCACACCCCACTTCTGGGCCAGCACAGTCCTCTGCTGGCCTCTGATGCAAACAGCCTTTGGCAAATCATTCCAGAAGAGGCTACATCAGAATCGTTTCGCAGGGGCTGGGGATGTAGCTCAGCGGCACAGCACCTGCCTGGTAAGCATGAGGTCATGAGTTCAATTCCCAGTACCAACTAAAGAAAAGAGAAAGAAAAGGCTGGGCATGGTGGTGCCTGTCTGTAATCCTCACTCAGGAGACTGAGACAAGAGGGTTTCTGTGAGTTCAAGGAAAGTCCAGACTACGAAATGCAGCCCAAACTGCCTAGCAAGACCCTGTCTCAAAAAGACGGGGGGAAAAAACAGAATCACCTCTCGGTGTTTATGACGACTCTGGTCAGATGCACCCCAAATGAGAACCACCACTAAGAGTTCTGCATGTGGCTGCTGTGCAAGCTCAAGTCCGAGGAGCCTGCTGGCTTAGTCCGCTGCAGCTGCTGTAACAAAGGACAGACGTGGACTTCTCACAGCTCCAGAGGTGAGGAGTCCACCATGCAGGTTCCTGGCAATCGCCCTCCAAGCAGGCTCTGTTTTTGCCGTGTCCACACATGGAATAGGAAAGGACAAAGCTCCTGTCCTTCCTGGGAGGACCCGAGGCCCGTCTTGAGGGCGCCCTTAAGACCTTGGCTAATCAGATCCTTTCCCAAGGCCTTCTTTCAGAACACGGTCACACAGGGGTTAAGGCCTCTCCTGGGAACTGTGGGGGCAAACAGTGGGTCCACACCAGGAGTTTGCAGGGTGATAGTCAACAGAGCACTGCCTGCAACAGGGCTTCCCACAGCAGTCCTACATGGATTAGCGCGTTATCTGGGCTGAATTGTACCAGCTCGGCATTAATTGATTAGTTGCACTCAGTAAAGCATGGTTTCTAAGAGTTCTGTGAATAGATTGATATCTTAGAGGCCTCAAACTATGCTCACTGCAAAGGAATCTGCCTTCTCTGGCCTGCAGGGAATTCCTATAGGATGCAGAGACAGCCCTCACACCTTTCGGCTGTTCTTAGCAGGAAACTTTCTTCTCTTTGTCTCTGTCTTGTATTCTGCAGTACAGGTTTTTGAGGCGTGTGGTTCACAGAAACACTGCTTCCCTCTAAGAACAGCATCTGTTCTCCATGTGCAGTGCCCTTGTGGGAACCACCTGCCCTTCTGAGCTGGGGTGGGGACATCATTTTCCCCAGCCCTCCTCTCTGCCCTCCAGACTGCAGGCAGCAGGGGTGGAGGTTTGCACTCCACAAGCTCTGCTTCCTTCTGTGACCCCACTGTTCCCCACCTGGCATCGCTCACAAAGACAGCTTCCTGTGCAGCACTCAGCCCTGCATGGACCGCACCACCCAGGTCCATGCCTCTCCACATACAAAGGGAAAACAGTGGACAGCCAGCCACACTCCCATCCTTCCAGACTCTGAAGCTTGACTTTTCAAAACTCAGGCACCTCAGACAGCACTGTGCTATCCTAACCTCTGTGGTGGCCTCGGCCCTGCTGTGGACATGGCCCTCCCCAAAGACACCAGGATACAGCAGGTACTACCCAGCTGCAGCCAGGCCCACCGCCATGCCAAGCCAGATCCTTCCCTCTTCTGCCCAGATGCAGGGTGACCACCATCCCCCTATAGTTCAAGGTCTTGGAATTTCCTCTGAGGGTCCTCCACGTGGGTGTCTGTGGTGCTTCCTCCAAGCCTAAGTGACACGTTGTCTCTCTGTGTAGATCTAGTTAACTTCAGCCTCAAGACAGAATGGGCTCCTTCTGTAAGGCAGAGTGGGGACTGTCAGGGGGAGTGACCTGCAGTGAGTTTGTCAGGGAGCCCAGGAGGAAATGGAACAAGAGGGGAAATACAATCACTTGGCTTGGACCTCGTGTCTTGTCTCTTTTATCACTGCCAAAACCTGCCCCAGGCTCTGCATGGCTTTCCCCCATCTTTAATAGTTTATCTTCATAAGTCTTTCTCTCTCAATTCAGTTATTTATTTGCCAGATTTAATGAGTACCTACTATGTGTCCAAATCATTCTAGAGATAATTCCTGCTCTGAATAGTGACAGGTCCTCAACAGCAGAGCTGAGATGCTATGAAGAAATACAGTGATGTAAGAATAGAAGAACCTGATAAACAATTGGCTTCACCAGTCCATCCCAGGTTTTAAAAGAATGCCTTACAAACCCAACACCTAACAGTGATTCCCTAGCGTGGCCATTGAGCCCTTTCCACCCATCCTAGATGCATCTCTGCAACCTGGTCCCCTCAGCCTCAGTATCTGCTTTCTGTGCACTCAGGTTGGGCCTTGCACACCATGGTAGCTGGGACCTTGTTTCCAATGTATTTTCGTCCTCCTTTCTGCAAACCTATAGTAAAATCCAATTTCCAACGGCTACTTCTTCAGAGTTGACACTAACGATGTTCTCATCTGCCCTGCCAGAACAGCTCTTTGTCCAGAGCATCCATGCAGTCATCTTCTGTGGGCCTGAACAGTGAGATGTGTTTTGGTGTGAGTACTAACTGCATGATGTGGTTAAAACATATGGCTAATGTTTAACTTTTAAAACCTTAATGTAGG